TCTTGTGGTGCTGGGAAACCAACCCAGGACCCCACATATGTCAGGGAAACACTCAACCACTGAGCCCCAGCCCAGAGTCTTGCACATGCTAGGCAGCACCCTATGTCTGGGTGACATCCCCAGTCCTTTTAAAAATATTTATTTAGTTTGTGGTACCAGGGAATGCTGAACTACATTCAGGATCCCTTTTTACATTCCCATCTCTTTTTATTTTTTTATTTTGAGACAGTCTCCCAAGATGCCCAGACTAGGGATCCTCCTGCCTCAGCCTCCCAGAATACTGAGATTACAGGCATGTACCACCACTCCTGGCTTCAAAGGTCTTGTCCTATTGTAGGCCTTTAATTCATAGTAATTTCTTTTCCATTTTTTGACAAATTTCACTAAACATTTTAAGACATTCAATTTAATTTTGCATTTAGTTTAAGAATTTCTAAATTTCTAAATTGGTACCACATTTTCATGAGGAAGCAGCTATGATTCCCTTTTGACTAAATGAGAGGCAGAGAAGTCAGGCTATTTGGCCAAGGCCAATAATTAGTACTACTTGATCCCACACCTGTCAGATCCACTGCAGCTTCCATCTCCAATCTCCAGCAATCAGGCTTGCTGCCTGCCCCCCACTCCACTGAAACCACTTTTCCAGTGATTTCCCCATTGCCAAATCCAGCGATCACTTTTCAGTCTTACTCCACTTCTCTGCAGCATCTGACACAGGTGATCCATCACTTCCTCTTGTTGAGACAGTATTTTGCTGAGTAGTGCAAGTTGACCTCAAACTCAAGATCCTCCTGCCTCTTCCTCTTCTTTTTTTTTCTTTCTTTTAGATAGTGAGGATTGAACCCAAGGCCTTCACACTGAGCTACATCCCCAGACTTTTTAATTTTTTTATTTTGAGATGGGGTCTCTTTAAGTTGCTAAATGGCCCAGGCTAGGCTCAAACTTAGGGTCTTCCTGCCTCAGCTTCTCAGAGTTCACCACCACACCCAGATTGCTTTTGCAATTTGAATAAGGTGGCCTAGAAAAGCATCTAGGCTTGAGATCACAGGGAAGTGAGTAGCAAATCTTAAGGAAGGGGTGGGTGGGTGGTGGTGCTCCAGAGGAAAGAAGGAGCCAATGAAAAAGCCCTGAGGCAGGAGGGTGTGGCTCAGAAGAGCCACCAGAGAAGCAATGCAGTTGGAACCTAAAACAAAAGGAAGAACACAGGAGGGCAGGGTGCACTGGGAGTGGAAGATTTTCAGTGCTTACTTTCATGAAAGAACTTTGATGGCAAGTTCTTCCTTTTGGTAAGAAGCCCTGAGAGTGCCGGAAGGTTTAAGCAACCCGGTAGGATCTGCTTACATTTTTAAAAAGATTGGTCTGCTGGGCCTGGTGGCACACACCTGTAATCCCCTGAGGTGAGAGGATTGCCTTGAGTTTGAGGCCAGCGTAGGCTACACAGTGAGTTCAAGGCCAGCCTTGAGGCTGACGGGAATGATGTGGCAGAGAGGAAAACATGCCAATGCAGTAGAAAGGCTAATTTCTGTAGTAATGTCCTTGGTAGGGAAAAGAATACTGGCTCTAGTATCCAAGGGGAGATGATGACCGTGGGTGGGTGCTTGGATAATTCAGCTATGACAACATGTGGGAAGGCAGAGGATGTGAGAGCTGTGGTTAGGGACTGGCTCTGGTTACTGTTTTTAGAAAAATGAGAAGTACAGTCATCAGCTCTGTGAGGTTCTAGAATAAAAGGAAAGGTGTAAAAGACAAAACAATTTAGGGAAATGTAGGGTTGCCAGGCAACACTGAGGGTCCATCTGAGGTTAGTGGTCATAATTTAATGTGAGCCACTCCACAGAGTTGATTGTTTCCCTTCGTGTGTGTGTGTGTGTGTGTGTGTGTGTGTGTGTGTGTGTGTGTGTGTGTGGTATAGGGCAATGAACCTAGGACATCTGTGCTGAGCTACATCCCCTTTAGATTTTTTATTTTATTTTGAGACAGGGTCTCACTAAGCTATCAAGTTGCCTGTGCTGGGCTGGAACTTATGATCCTCCTGCCTCAGCCTCCCAGAGTGCTGGGATTACAGGTGCAGGCCTCCACACTTGGACCCCTCCAGCCATGTTTAACTACACTGGTGCAAGGGCAAAGCTGGTGGGAAGTTTTTGTTTTTGTTTTTTTTCCAGGCATACTTGATGAAGGGAAAGCAGTAGGAAATAATGAATCATGGACAGAAGCTGGATGAGGAGAGATGTGAGAATGTGATGAAATGGTTCTAGTATCAATGATCAGAGGTGCCAGACAAGAAGAATTATTGAAATCAGAACTGGAAAGGCAGGAGCTAGGAGAGCAAGATTCAGAGGCTGTCAGAAAGTGGGCTGCCTGATGGCCTGGTGATGTGTCCCAGTGGTTGAGTTCTTGCCTTGCATGGGGACCTGGGTTCAATCCTCAGTACAGGGGGAAAAAAAAAAGTGGGCTGCTTAGGCCTGATGTTTGAATTCGGTAGAACTTTAGAGTTTGGAAGCTCCTCGGGCCAAGTTTTACACTTCTGCATCAAAAGCTTTCATTATTAAAGTTTTTGGAATATTCTGTGGGAAGAGTGTGTGAATACGGGAAGAAAGGAGACAATAATGAAGATGCCTTTGCCCAGTGGAGGTAGATTAGTAATTACTTCAGCATAAAGAGAAAGCAAATAAACTAAAGCCTATATGGGAAAGGAAAAGACTGAAAAGAGATTTATCCCACACTCCAAGGTCACAGTGATTGATGTAGCTGGGTGAAGAGAAAGTCAGTATTAAAAACAAAATATAAAAATATCTGATATTGTTGGTCCAGTAAATTTCCTAAGAGTACTGTCAAGAAGCACTAAAAATAATACATGTGTGATGGCCACATCTGTAATCTCAGCACTTGGGAAGCTGAGGGAGGAGAATCGCTGAGTTCGAAGCCAACCTGGGCTACATGTGAGTAGCAGGAATATAAGCAAGAGCCTGTCTCAAAAAACAAAACAAATTACTAAAAATAACTGATTTTGGGCCAGGGATGTATCTCAGTGGTGCAGCACCTGCCTGGCAAGTGCAAGGTCCTGAGTTCGATCCCTGGTACTGGAAAAAAACAAACAGATTTTATGTTTCTTTAAAAGCACTTATCAGTAAAAGTAGGAGTCTTTTGGTCCCCTGCTGCCATGTGTGATGAGGCCCAGTGTCAGGTACAGCCCTTCCCTACTCAGTGGTCATTTTCCTCAGGGGACAGCAATCAACAGCCAAAAATATACTACATCATCTGGTCACACTTTGTTTCCCCAAACACAAGAGTCTCTAATAACAGCATGGGACACTCTGGCCACTCAAGTTGAAATCAAAGCTCACTTAGTAACTTGGCTTATAGAGCTTTTGTGGTTTATCATTTCCCTCTGGAAATTATCATCTATTAGAAAATTGAAATAAAAAATAAGCTCACCAGGTGTGGTGGTGCATGACTATAATGCCAGTGACCTTCGAGATAGGAGAATCAAAAGTTCCAGCTCAGCCTGGGCAGCTTAGTCAGAAGGGATAAAAAGGGATAGAGATGTTGCTCTGTGTGAAAGCCCTGGGTTCAATCCCCATTACTGTAAATAAATAAATGATAGATAGATAAGTAAATAAAGAAATAGCTAAAAAAAAATTATTGTTGGGTGAAGAGGCACAAGCCTATAACCTAGCAGTTAGGGAGTGTAGGGCAGGATAATGGAGAGCTCAAGCTCTACTTGGGGCCAGGTGCACAGGCACATGGCTGGGATTCCAGCACTTGGACACTTGGAGGTTGAGGCAGGAGGATATCGTGAGTACATAACTGTAGCATTGCTCCCAACATATATGTTGGGAGCAATGCTACACATAACAGCCTAGGCTACATAAGTTCAAAGTCAGCCTGAGCTACATAGCAAGACCCTGTCTCAAAAAAA